GTGGACTCAGATTGAATCAGATCTTTTCTGAGCCAATCACAGCAAAAACAAATACCTCTTTACAAGAGCTGACAAAATGTTTGCCATTGTAAAGGAATCTAATAATTGCTTAAGAGTCTGTGGTCCTCATTGGCAGAGCAGACCAGCGATCATGGCCAAGGTACGGTGCTAAATGCTTCGACTCAGCAGCGTACGCGTGCAGGAAAGTGGCTCCGTTGGTATCTGTACGATACGCTGCGATTACTCGTTTTAATGACGTCACCTTCGCTCGAATGCACCCTGAACCCGCCGCGCAATCGCCCTGCACAAAATGTGATCAACAGCAAGGAACTGACCGAGTGTTTCGATGCAACTTCTCACAGGGAAAAGCCAAAAATGTGGTGATCAAGATGCTGAGTGCGGCAGGCACTGGGTAAGCTCAATTTCAAGCTCTCTCGAGACATCAGATTGCCTGCTGACCCTCTTTTGCTTACAGCTTCTTCTACACCACGACAAAGAACCCGCGCAACGTCACTAGGAAGCTCTCGCTCCGCAAGGTACAGCTCAACCTGAGGACTATTATGAAGTTTTGCTAGCTAATTAATTCCTTTTACCGCAGTACGACCCGATTGTCCGACAGCACGTGATTTTTAACGAGACCAAGATCAAGAAGGGATAAGCGTCGGCATATCTCGCGTACTGGTTCGAGTATCAACGCTTTAGGCGAACGCGCGCGTCTATTACGGTCGCATTTAGAGATTGGACCTTTGTGTGTGGGTCGCTTAACGGCAATACGCATCCTTCGCTTGTGACACTGACTTGCTATAGCTCACTTCTTTGGGTTTCGTCTACAAAAGTCGTCGCCCTTTGATCATAAATGAATGACTTGCGTCTGACGCAACGACGACGTCAGCGCCATCGACAACAGGAGGTTCTACACGATCAGGGGCGTCTACGATAATCAGATCGAGCGGAGCTGCTGGCTCGGGTTTCTCGTTGAAAAACTCGTGCTCAAGTGCCTCGCGCACCGAGATACGCTTCTTCGGGTTTAGCTGCAGCATTCGAGACAACAGATCGACGCCAGCACGCGACAACATCGAGAACTGTTCGGCCAGTGGCGTCGGGTTCGTGTCCTTAAAGCGGAGAAAAAACGGCAACTTACTGGCTTCGTCCCATCCGTTCTCTGACGGGGATCCCAAGGCGGCAAAGATCTTACTCAGCTGGTCGATGTCCGAGGATCCTTCGGCCAGTGGACGTCGCAGCAGCATCTCGGCAAAGATGCAGCCGACAGACCACATGTCCACTTCGAACCCATACCTCTCCTCGCCAAAGAAAAGCTCAGGCGCCCGGTATGCCCTGGTCACCACTTGAATGGATCTCTTGGGCTTCTTCTTGTCACTCGCTGCGTCGTCTCCATCAGTATCTCCGTCCTCAATGTCACTCTCCTTCTCGATCACTGTCGCCATGCCAAAGTCGGTGATCTTGGCGCAGTGCTGTGTCTTGGAGAGCAGCAGGTTGTTCGGCTTCAGGTCGCGATGCAGGATGCCGCGTGAATGAAGCTCGTGTACGCCTAGTAGAAGCATCTCCAAGTAGGCCTTAACTTGTGTTACTTCCAGTGCCGGCACGCTCTCAGTAGCGCCAATCAACGTCTCCAAGTCGCTGTCCATGTGCTCCAGTATCAGGTAGAGCTTGTCATGACGCTCCACGACCTCAAGCAGCTATAAATCGCCACATGGGTACAAAGTTGTCAGCTTTACCCGCAGTTTTGACGCCAGAGTGCTGTACTGTACGCACCTGAACTACGTGCTTGGCACCTTGACACTTGAAGAGCATGTCCGCCTCATGGCGCCCTGCATCCAGCGACCCGAGTACCTTTTTAATGGCCACACGTGCCCGAGACTCGGCATGGTATCCGAGATACACGGTACCGTAAGTGCCACGCCCGATCTCTGCATGCTTCTCGTATGCGCCCAGACGCTTCCGCGCGTCATTGCCCATCCGGCGCTTCATAGTGTTCTGAGTGGGGCTATTTTGGGTTGGAAAACCCCTTTTCAGCCAATCCTGCGCGAGCTGGGACGTGGAGATGCAACAAACAGCTCAGCAGCGCTAAAGTATGCAGCGGGCTCAAGCCAGTACGGTCGCCGTTGTCGACAGAAGGGGGCAGGGGCAGGTGGCGGGCGTTTAGTGACGTCGACCTTTGCGTCTGAGTATGGTGTCGCCGTTTGGAACCCGTCGCCCCAAAAGGAGCGAGAAAGAGAGCGGCGCGAGGGAAAGAGAGTGAGCACAACCGGTCGGCTGGGGTTTCTGCCATTCTCGATCGCTTCCGGCCGCCCCCAAAGACACACAAGGCGCCGCAAGCTTCCAGAACACCTAGACGACAGGCACAGGACTACAATGCCCATGAAGAAGACAGCCCCGAAAAGCGTGCAATGGTCCACCGTGACCGTGTATGAGTTCGGCGTAGCACTGGGAGGCAGCGCCGTCCCGCGCCGTGGCGGCCCGTCAATCGGCCTGGCCCGGACGCCGCAGGAGGTGTGGAGCACAACGCTGGACAAGGTGCGACGCTGTGGGGACCTTGCGCTTACGCGCCCTGGCTGCGCTGCAACCGAGGAGAAAGAGAACGCGGGCAGTGCGGACCGGAATGAGCAGCGCAAGCCCCGCGTGCAGCGTGCTCGAAGAGTGCGTTGGCTGAAGCCGCTGGAGCGCATCACGATGTTGACCAAGGCTGGCTGCAGCGAGGAGCGCATCTACCGCATGATGATGGAGAGCTCCGACATCGCCATGTCTAGGAGGCTCTGCGTCTCGATGCAGCGGCAAGTTACTGCATGAAGAGAAGTCAGTATCGCTAAGGAAATCGACTTGTCATGAGCAAGAACGAGAGTTGGGGGCGGCTTTCTGCCTCGTGCTATGGTGCTTTGATGAGGCCAGGAGCAAGTAGAGTAAGGATCACAATGAAGAACTATTTACTATTTTACAAAGGCGATTTAGCTGCTGCTTGTGTTTTGTGAGCCTGTTGGACACCAGTTCGGCTGCTTTCTTCACATTATCTTGTCGCCGACCAAGACTTCGTGATGACTATCATAGCTCGTAGCCCCCTAATGTGTCTTCGCAGGTAGAGAGCAATGCTTCGTAGCAAGTCAATGAAGCTGCTATAGATTACATTATTATAAGTTAAAAATGTCCATCCTGTCTTCGCCCTTTGCTTAGCACCATCGTATCCGGCACCCCATCGTTGATACTCCATTTCATGCTACCTCGGTCGTCGTCGGCACGTGCAAAATGCAACTTAGGCCACACACTCGACACGCAGACAGAGCCGTCGCGACTGGTCGATGCTGGACGACTCCATGAGCATGCGGAAGATACGCTCCTCGCTGTAGCCTGCCTTCTCCAGCATCGTGATGCGCTCCAGCGGCTTCAACCAGCCCACGCTCTCCGCCGATGTCGTCCTGCGGTTACCTGCCTGTCCTCCGCCTGT